ACAAACTCAGAAAATGTGTGTGAACAGGATGTGACAGGATGTCAGAGTACTCAATTTCTGATTAAAGCTAATTAGAAGAAGAAATTAACACTTTAATGATGATTCTGTTTGGTGGACATCTCTATCCAATATATTTTTTTTAATTTAGTCAGTTCACTTCCTATTACTTCCTATTATGCCATGCCTTACTGGTTGCTATGTCAACTCTTGTGGTAACTAGGGAACTAAAAGAGACTCACAATGATGTTGTTTCGAATGCTGAAGATTTTTACAGTACAATGGTACCAGTTGAGCAGATGAAGTATGACACCTACAGTGGGTACGGAAAGTATTCACACCCCTTTAAAATTTTCACTCTTTGTTTCATTGCAGCCATTTGCTAAAATCAAAAAAGTTCATTTTATTTCTCATTAATGTACACTCAGCACCCCATCTTGACAGAAAAAAACAAATGTAGAAATTTTTGCAAATTTATTAAAAAAGAAAAACTGAAATATCACAGGGTCATAAGTATTCAGACCCTTTGCTGTGACATTCATATTTAACTCACATGCTGTCCATTTCTTCTGATCCTCCTTGAGATGGTCCTGCTCCTTCATTGGCTAGCTGTGTTTAATTAAACTGATTGGACTTGATTAGGAAAGGCACACACCTATCTATATAAGACCTTACAGCGCATGTCAGAGCAAATGAGAATCATGAGGTCTAAGGAACTGCCCAAGGAGCTCAGAGACAGAATTGTGGCAAGGCACAGATCTGGCCAAGGTTACAAAAGAATTTCTGCAGCACTCAAGGTTCCTAAGAGCACAGTGGCCTCCATAATCCTTAAATGGAAGAAGTTTGGGACGACCAGAACTCTTCCTAGACCTGGCCGTCCAGCCAAACTGAGCAATCGTGGGAGAAGAGCCTTGGTGAGAGAGGTAAAGAAGAACCCAAAGATCACTGTGGCTGAGCTCCAGAGATGCAGTAGGGAGATGGGAGAAAGTTCTACAAAGTCAACTATCACTGCAGCCCTGCACCAGTCGGGGCTTTATGGCAGAGTGGCCCGACGGAAGCCTCTCCTCAGTGCAAGACATATGAAAGCCCGCATAGAGTTTGCCAAAAAACACATGAAGGACTCCCAGACAATGAGAAATAAGATTCTCTGGTCTGATGAGACCAAGATTGAACAGCGGTATGTGTGGAGAAAACCAGGCACTGCTCATCACCTGCCCAATACAATCCCAACAGTGAAACATGGTGGTGGCAGCATCAGGCTATGGGGATGTTTTTCAGCTGCAGGGACAGGACGACTGGTTGCAATTGAAGGAAAGATGAATGCGGCCAAGTACAGAGATATCCTGGAAGAAAACCTCTTCCAGAGTGCTCAGGACCTCAGACTGGGCCGAGGGTTCACCTTCCAACAAGACAATAACCCTAAGCACACAGCTAAAATAACAAAGGAGTGGCTTCGGAACAACTCTGTGACCAGCCAGAGCCCTGACCTAAACCCAATTGAGCATCTCTGGAGAGATCTGAGAATGGCTGTCCACCAACGTTCACCATCCAACCTGACAGAACTGGAGAGGATCTGCAAGGAAGAATGGCAGAGGATCCCCAAATCCAGGTGTGAAAAACTTGTTGCATCATTCCCAAGAAGACTCATGGCTGTAGTAGCTCAAAAGGGTGCTTCTACTCAATACTGAGCAAAGGGTCTGAATACTTATGACCATGTGATATTTCAGTTTTTCTTTTTTAATAAATTTGCAAAAATTTCTACATTTCTGTTTTTTTCTGCCAAGATGGGGTGCTGAGTGTACATTAATGAGAAATAAAATGAACTTTTTTGATTTTAGCAAATGGCTGCAATGAAACAAAGAGTGAAAAATTTAAAGAGGTCTGAATACTTTCCGTACCCACTGTATATGGTTTAACTACCACTGCAATACTATTGAATCTTTTTTATGTATTATTGCTGTACTTAAGGCTGGGGATATTGGCATACAAGTCATTAGCCAAAAAACAAATCTAAAAACAGATAAATGCCAACCTTAAAATGAAAAAACCAACAACATTTTGACTTGATAGTCCTTTGAGTTAAAAAAAAAGTCTGTATCAAAAAAATTTGATTTAGGAAAATTTTACATTTTTGCGATATCTTATTGTAATATTGCAACAGTTTGATTGACATTCCCTGGAGTGGACAAAGTCATGATTTAGGAAAATAAACACTGGAATAAATGCACAAAAATTAACCCCGCAATTCCGCACTGTCGCTGTTTGGCTCTGTGATCCACGCATTTTTAAATCATACCCAGAGCATTTCAGAAGCGGAGTGTGTTCAGAGCATGTTGCCTGCCATACACTGTTTATGTGTATTTTGTCCTTAAAAAAGAAACAAATCCGTGTTTCTCAACTTAAAATCTCCTCTAACCTGCCTCTGATTGATTGACTTCTGGTCTGGTGCCACAATGTTGATGTAGCATGAATTCTCTATTATTTTTCTTTTTATATGATGTCATATCATATTATCAATATGACATATGATATTATGGCAAGATAATTTTCAGAGCAGTTAACTTAATGGTTTTTTTACACTGATTAAAGAAAAATGTATTAATTGAAAACAACCCATATTTTTCTGAATATGATTTTCTGAAATGTAATATTCATTTTTAATCAAATCACTCGAGTGACTGATCTCATTTGTGAAATACATATGGCTACATTCATGCCAATCCATGGATCCTACTTGTAACCCATTTCCAGCACTACAAATTAACACACGACTTGGCTGGATGATCAATGAATGAATGCAGTTAAAGACACAATTTAAATGATTTCTTAATTTGATATAAATGAGACAGATTGTGTAAAGGCAAGTAATTCTGATGTGTCATATACTCAGCTTAAGGGACCATAGAGTTTCTGTTCTTAATGAAGATAACAAAGAAGCACAACGTTACTATGGAAACGGGATGGCTGACAAGGGGGTAAGTGTGGCACAAAGCAGATATCACAAAATCATGAAAACTTGCAAGAATGTCAAGACCTGTATCTTCAATATTAACTGCTCCCTTGATTTAGATCTTTTTTTTATTGTATTGTTATTGCAACCTAACAAACTGCCGTCTTCACTAACTTCTGTCTTTATCCTTGCTACATAATAAAAATCCCAAGAATGAGAAGACTTAAAGACTTGCCAATTCATCAGCAATACGGTGACAATCCATCTACAACAGAGCGCTTCACAACTGGCTTGTGTGTTTATTGGCTGATGAGTTAGACAACTCAGGGGCTCCCTCTGAAATGGAAGACACAAGACAGACGCATTTGTCATAGCAGCAAAGTAGGTTGAAGTGAGGGGGGGGGGATAATGAGTCTGGATGGCACTAGCTCATTGGCAGGGCTGCCTGTCACAGCGATGCCACACAGCAGTTCCTAGCCCGCCGTCTGCTCATGAGATAAAGAACAAACTAGACCGACATGACGGGGGCCTTTCAACATAGCATGTTTCACTTCAATTTATTACGTGTCACAACTACTAAAAGGAAGTCATGATATCAGTTCAAGACCAGGTGAGAGATGTGACAACAAGCTGGTGAAATATAACACTCAAGCACTGCAACGTGAAACACACCAAGCTTATAGCATACACGGTACATCTCTCTGAGTTGGAGCTAGATGATGAGGCAGTGGTTGTCAAACTTTTCCTGGCTTGCACCTCTTCAGAAGCCAAAACAAATTCACATCCCACAACCCCACAATTTCTATGAAACATTAACAGTGATGGGAATGTTTGATAAAACAATTAGGGGAAGAAACTATTAAAAACAGATACATTTGAATTTTAACATTTACTTTATTAATCCCCCAATTGGGACTTTACACACATAAGCCTGAAATACAATACATACACACACAGGGCATATAGACATGCAAATGTAGAGAGATGGTGGAGTGATGGGCTACCAAGTAGCAGTGCCCCTGGAGCAGTTACGGCTTGTTCACATCACCCGCGTCTGCGTGGCGTAACATCTTGATTTTTATTTTGGCGTCCATGTTAACAGATTAGACCAGTCACACTGCCTCAGCTGTGTCTGCAGCGACGCTTCACTAGAGAGTCCAGGTCTCGCCTATTTTTACCACGCACGTCTCCCAGTAGAAGAGCACAGTGAAAGGAACTGTTGGTAGTCATATCCACATATTTCAGTGCAGTTCCAACTGCCTTTTCAAAGTGAAAGAATTTCTGGAAGTGAGCGGGAGGAAGGGCAGTATCTTTCCACTGTGCTCTCTCTCTCTCTTTCTCTCTCTCTCTCGCTCTCTCGGTTAAACAAACCACACAGGATTTCTGGTTACCACTTTTCATATTTACATTTCAACTTCATGGCATTGTAAATTAAATAATATAGAAATTTTGAGGACATATACAGGGAAAAGTGAATTGGAAACACAGGGCTGGTAGCAGCAGCTCTGCAGCAGCCACGTAACTGACACGCTCTCGATGTAAATGCACCTCGGCAGCACCCAAGTGGTGAACTGGCACCTCTCTAGCTACCAGTCCACACTCAGCCCCACAGTTTCAGAACCACAGTTGCTTTGGTGGTGCGATGGCAATTACATCAAAAGATGTTCACTATACTTTTTAGTTAAAAGGTATCTGTACTGCATAGTTGTGACAGTGATGAAGACCAAATGGCTAAAAATGTTTTGTCTTCTTGTATCAAGTGACTTGTTGTCATGGAGTGTGACCCTCTTCTGTCATCAAGAAAAGCACCAGACAGGACTTTGGGAGTTGTGGTGGGAGCACCGCTGGATTGGCCATCGGGCATACCAGGCAGTGATGGCGGAGGTGGCCGTCAGGTGGATGAGGGGAAGGGGAGGCAGGAGGAGGAGATACCCGTGGCCGCGGGTTTCAGGATCCCATCATACGTTGTACATTGTTCAGGAGGTTAACTAGACCAAGCAGCCTTTTGGTTTCCATTAAGTATTGTAAAGAATAACGGGACTGGGAGGATGGTGTAGGTTTAAGTTTATTAGACAAGTACATATACACCAACAAGACAGTGTACAAGCATTGTCACAAGAAAGTTTGTTTTCATTCATAGGCTTCATTGTCTTTCCATCAATACCTGACGCTGTAGGTGCCCCTTCAACGTTATTTATTTATTTATTTATTATAGCCCACCCCACAATCTTTCCCTAAACCAAAGTTCAGTCAGGACCACTTTTGTCAAAATAACTTTTATTCCAAAGCAGAATATTACATTTGGCGGTATTGCTCTGCTCTGCTCTGGGATCTCCTTGCCTTTCTCTTAGGCAAAACCTAATCTCTGGAAAACCTAAGGGAGCACACCTCCCTGCCCTACCATGTGCGTACATGGAAAAGTTTAAGACAAGGAGAGTGGCAGCAGAGACCCCCCAGGGTACAGAACAGAGCAAGCATCAATGGCAATCAGAAAATGACATTGATTAATTAGATACAACATAAAAAGGAGGAGCTGGGGTAGAAGTGGGTTGCAAAAAGGCTTGTAGAGGAAGCAGCAAAGATAGGCAGGCTAAAGCAGCTTAAATAAGGCGCCATAAATGATATTTGCCAATTGGATGCTTGAGGGAATCAGCTGAGCTGTCAGCTGACTGTGTATGGTTTCCAATAGGAAGCTTAGGAGGAATCAGCTGAGCCATCAGCTGATTTGTGTTTATGACTAGCTGTGATCATATGATATAGCTGGAATTGTAATATTCTTATTTGTGATAAGATTGTATGTACACTGTACTCTCTTTTTATTGCACTATATTCCCCAACGCTGCTGTGTGTAACTTGAATTTCTCCTACAGGGGATTAATAAAGGTATAGAGTATCTTATCTTATCTTATTGCTAATGTGAGGGAAACTTGCTTCATTTGTTATTGCTAACATGAATTCAAAGCGCTGCATGTCCAGAAAAAACACTAGATGGGTATCTATAGCATCATGGTTTATAGCATGAGGCCACTGACCAAGTGGCCATATTTGAGTTGGGAGAGAAAGCGTAGCATTAGAAAAGTTTGACATATTGGGTTTATGCTGTTGATTTGAATGCATGAATGAATTAAAATAGAAACACAGTGACAAGATATTCTCATGAGTTTCCACAGTTGCTTGGCTGCTGCCATTGTCAACCAGAACATAAATATGACTTAGTTATAATAGTTCTGAATAGGAGAGTATAATAATAGTATCTCTATTCAAGTAAATGTGTCATTTTTGTGTTTAAGCATAAAGTAAAATAGTTATAATATTGATCAAATCTATTATACAAGCTTTGTGAAGGACTTCTGGTTTGTCATTTGCCTTTTCAGGCTCTTTAATCAGTCACAGAGGATCCTCTCTATGGACTGGCTGAGCCCTGCTTTGCAGAGTGTGGACTGCATACTTACATTAGTGCAAAGAGTTGTGAAAAATGTGTTCAGGGTAAACATGACCCAAAAGCAGACTCTCTAGGTAAGTATAGTTAAAAGGCTCTTTATTCAAAGGTCAAGTAAAGGTCTGGATCACAGTCATAAACCAGGGAGGCATGCAGCATTGTGTTTTATTACTGTTAAATAATCAGAATAAGACCTCAATAAAGTAGAAATGTGTGGCATGACAGTCTGAAAAGGAAACAAAAGGTGAAAATATAGCACACAGACTAGAGACACTCAATGACAGAAGAGAAAGAGCAGGCGCCATCCTGAGAGTTGTTTGTCTTCTCTGAGAGGAAATGCCAACTGAGGACACCCCTGTGAGAATATTTTCTTGAATATTTCCTTTTGATATCAGTGTGGAAAAAATAACCTTTAGTGTAGCATGAATGCTGTCTGGCTCACTACATAAAACAGCCTTAGTTTGAAGTGCGGTCTAGTGGTAGCAAGACCAGCTTGGATGTGAGCCTAAACTCCCTGATTTGAAAATGTAACAATTCTTTAGTGGATTTTTTCCTTACTAGACAGCATATCCAAATCTCCAGTGAACTCCCCTTGGGGCTTAAAAGGCTAATTTAATTTCAAGTTCACTCAAAATGTAAAAAGAGCAATTAACCAATTAACCAAAGCTCTTGGTCTTTAGAACTCATTTAATCAAAGCTAAAAGGTCCATTGTTTCTCAGGTAATATCCCAGCCTTTGTGCTGCAAGGAGCTGGAATATTGTAATTCCTCATTTTGAAAATGTGAGAACTTCATTAATGTTGAAACATATCTTTCAGGACTTTCAGATGAGGTTAGATGAGATATCACAGCCTGGAGTTATTGTTTTAAATGGCATGGAAAAAATCTGTTACATTTTGAAAGTTATAGAGATTATCCAATTAAATGTGTTTAATAATATTTCTATTACAAGAAGAGATAAAATTAATTAATACAAAATTATTTCTGCTTCTAGCTTCTTGCAGAGCTGTAAGGCAGTTTATCTGTTTTGGTGGTGAACAAGGGGAATTTGAGCTGCAACAGTAATAAAACTTTACTCCAAATAAAAACTAAATGGTATAATAATTATTCAACTTTTTAAAATATTTCTAAAACAGCTATCTACTCAACAAAATACAAAACAGATCTAGTAGATAAAGCAGAATATGAAAATCTTATAAAGATGTTTTGTCACAGTTATTAGTTGGAGGTAGCGTCTGTTGTTCCCTCCAAATCTGGGACAAACTGTTCTGTTTTCTGGATACTTGATGTGGTTACTGCAACCTAACAATCCCTCTTTCTCACTCTCTTCTTCCCCTTCTCTCTTTCACACATTCAACCCGCTGATTCGACTTGCTGACAGCTGGGATTTAATCTCTCTACACTGTGCATCTTCCTTACCTCGCTAAAATTCTGGAAACAAACACACTACGGAAATATTGATCTCAACCAGGGCTATGGACAGATCAATTGTTAACAGAACATAGGGTGTGTTTGGGCATAAGATTGAAAATGGGTATGTTTAGGTATAAGATGGGCAAGTTAGGTTTATGTTTAGGTTAAAAATGGAAAGGATTAAGACAAATGACAAAGACAAATGTGCCAGATCTACATCATTCTGCTGAAGTTTTTCATAAAGTTTTTGTGCAGCATCCTGAGCTGAAAACACACATTAAATTGTATGGCTAATGAGCCAACCAGAAGCTCTCTACAAACAGTAAATGAACCACTGAAATTGCCAAAGCAGCACAGTCACTGTAGGTCAGCCATATAGATAGCTTACTTCAACTTTCTTCAGTGCACTCAATGGCAAATCTTCATCAACCACCACACAACTGTAACACTATTAATGATTATAATATCCAGCAAGTAAACATGTAATTTAGTGAGGGGGGTTCTCCAGTTTGTAGTAATATAAAAATCTGCATCACTAAACACAATGTTGCGTTTTTTTCATCACAAACTAAACACAATGTTGCGTTTTTTTCATCACAAAGGGGGGAGCATAAATGATACTGTAAAAGCAGGCACAAAATACAAATCCCCCAAATCCAGATGAGATTAAACAAATACGTGGCCTTCTCTGTTGCCTGGATAATAAAAATCCTATATTGTGCACTCGTAGTGTGACATTCAGGTGTCAGCATGACACACTGGTTTATTTATAGCTACTGTGCAGCTGAGATGGCTTCTCCACAGCAGCTGGGTGGAACAACAGAGAACCAGTTAGAACTTTGCTTAAATTTGAAAGAAATTTAAAAGAAAATCCAGCAATATTCACAGTCTGACTGTATGTTTCTTAACCCAAGCAAGCCTCTCAATCTTGTTTTGATGCTTTATGAAATGTTTATGTCACTACATAACCTTACCCTCAAATAGCCCTGTCAACAACATGAGAAGAAAAGAGGACAAAAACGAAGGAATGACTTACCTTATGCAGCCTACATTTCAAATTGAGCCTTGGTTTAACACATTCATATTAACCTGACGCTCCAGGTGGTTTATTAAACAGAACCGTCTGGGACTGGTTTTACTGTGTTTTTTTTAAAGGCAGGCACTTTCAAAAGAAACATGGTAGGATGAACCATCTGTCTTTCACGATCAGAGCTAACTTTCCACTTAAACTTTACTTTTTCCATCAAGAAAAGCCTTCAGTGCCATTCTTTAGTGCTCTGCTCTTATGTCCATGGAGGCCACTATGTTGAACCGCCTGGCTATACAGTAGCCCAGTATGAAAAAAACAAACATTGGCTCTACACAGGGCTGTTCGCATCTTTTGCACGTTTCACAGCCACTACAGTTTCTCCTTTGCAATTAGTCTGCTGCTAGGAAGGTTAAGGTGAAATGAGGAAGCTGCAATCTGCAAGTACACCGCTAGCACAAGCTGAGGATGACTATGCTACTCATTCATTTCTCTCCTTCTCTTTTCCTGCTTTCTCTGTAAGCAGCTGACTATGGGTGTTTCCCCATTTACCTCCAGTTCCATCACTTCCATCTTCACATCCCTCAGATGTCAGTGTTCTCCTCATCCATCACCACATCCACGATCTAAACTTCGTCAAGAGGGTATCCTATACCACAGCTTCACCGACCCCTTAAAATATGATGACGTCATGACATTTCTCATCTTTATTGTGCTCAATAAATATTATTCACTTTTAATGAAGTGTCTCCTGTAATAAACTATTGTTATATTATTACACCAGTAAGGAAGGAATGGGACTCCAGTGCAGTAAGACTCTCAAGAAGCTCCTCAAATAGCACAGTTGAATTAATAACTGGGAAACCTTGACTAGTTACATGGTATTTACCCTGTTTTCACCTGATTTAATACAAAAAACACGTGTTTCCTTGTAAATAAAACCTCTGAGATACTCATCACAATGCGAGAGCAGAAGGCCTGAGCTCTATGCTGTAATCTCTTTCTATGACCTTTCTCCTCTCACTTTCACTATCATCTGATGTGACTTCAAACCCCATGGTCCCTAGTAGGAGTCAGTAACCTCTGACACTTATCTCCTCTGACCTGATGGTATGGCTTACAATGGTGTGCTGAACCAAAGGAGTCCCAAAGCACAGCATTATTGATCATTTGAATCCATGAAACATTTCAGAGGAAAGTGTCAGAGAGTTGTTATGGCCCAGTAGTAAGAGGAGGCTGTGTTCATAGTTGTAGGTTTGACTTTTTTCCAGGGCAGAGTAACAGCTCCCTCATCAACTAATGTCAGTGTGTGCATGAGCAAAGCAGTTATTTCTCTTCAACTCAATAGCCACTAGACAGCTGTGGTGTTGCTGGGCACCTACCATGTATTGACTTCTGTCACTGAGTTAGGAGCTGGGTTTCCATTAGGGAAATCATTCAGGCTGAGAATTAAGCTCTCCCCCAGGCCATTCTGCACACGCAGACCACAAGGGCACTGTTATTATAACCTTTTATATTACTGCTCTTTCCTTAAGCTCATCAAGAGCTAACCAGAGTATGCATTCATGTATTTAATACTTTAACACTTTTGGATTATAAAACTTGCACCTGCTATGTCCTTAATATTCTCACAGGCCAAATCCAGGTCCTGAACCGGGGAGAACACTTGTATTGTGAAAATGTGCACTGTGTTTTGTGGATTCCACATCCTTACTTGTTGGTATTCATTTTTTCCAAAGCATGATACAAATAGATTGTTTTGTTTGGTTATAAAGTCAGTTAGGGAATTTGAATTTTATAATTTTACCCATTCCTCATTGTAAAAAACAAAAATGCAGAAAAGGGATTTTTCTTATTCTATTGATTTCTGGTTTAAAAAATACAAAAAAGAAATATTTCAAAACACAGACCCAGCAGTCATCCTTCTGTCAGATAAGGTACGTGGTTGAAAATATGATCCCTAGCTAAATAGTAAAATGGTAAAAGGGCATTTAATATTATAACCTGCCTTGGATAGTTTGGGTTTTTTGAAGCGGGGGTTGTGTGAGGTAATATTTTCAGCTTTTTACCTTGCCATCAGACAGCCCTTTTCGACAGGAAAACATTTATATCGCTCTCCCCGAAGCCACCATAGAGTAATTTTAACTCACAGCACACAGGAGTTACTGGTCGACTGCTGTCTCAATCCACAGCAACTAATGTTAGTTTAGATCCAAACTACTGTGTTAAAATACAAGTCACACAATAACACAAACAAGCAAACCGATCAAGGCAGTGGTGGACCAGCAGCTCCTGTGTTTTGTGAGGTAAAATCTTGTCTGGTTGCTTTGAAGAAAGCATACGTCAATATAAACACTTCAGTTTCCTTTTGGAAAGTACTGTCTGACAGCAAGGTAAAGCAGTGAAAATATTATAAATATAGCATACAATTAAATTTTTTTTAGGTGGGCCTTTTTTTATGTGCCTAAAATATGGTTTGGGTAAATATCTCTCAAAACACTACTTCAAAAACCCGAACTATCCCTTTAGAGGACTTTCTTTTTTATTTACTCCCTTTCAGTCTTTTTGACTGATTATCCTGTTTCTGAATACAATCGTTAAAAAAAAAAACAATGGCTATAATTGTATTGTACGTTTTTGGTGTTATTGAGTACGTGAAAACATGTTAGGCAAACAGGTCTAGATATATAAGTCATATCAGATAACAAGAAGGTTACTTCACAATTGAATGGCAGTATTGCCAGTGAGTTAATTGTGCTTTCGTGTTTGTACGTACATTCAGCCACAACGGAACGTTGATTTCCTTCTGTTTCTTGACCCCCCTTGTCTTTCACATTCTTATTTTTGCTCGTGTTATCTTGTTTGATAGAGATGCCCACACAGTTTCCATGGCAACACAAAAAGAAAAAAGGGAAAAAAAGGAATCTTTGACTGAGGAGTTACCTGACAGGGGAACCAAGACAGAGTGAAGGGAGGAAAGAAGCACAGCACAAGCATCAACTTTTAAACCAATCCAGTGTGTTTTCAGTGGACCTGGACTTTTAAAAACATTAATAAAAAATGAGCTGCGAGGAGCTGATCACAGTTGAATGATTGTTCACTTCATTTCACTGACCTCTTACACTGAGGATTGTAGCGACATGTGTATGTGTGTGTGTGTGTGTGTGTGTGTGTGTGTGTGTGTGTGTGTGTGTGTGTGTGTGTGTGAGAATAACTGATGGATGCCACTACTGTGTGTTCATTGTGTTTGCCTACACCATAGTTGTTTTCAGGGTCACTGGCCAAAGTCCTGAGGGACCGAGTATTGTTGAATGTGAAGCCTCAGACCTGCAACCTTTCTTGTCCTTCTTCTCTGTGTGTGAGTGTGTGTGTGTGTGTGTGTGTGTGTGTGTGTGTGTGTGTGTGTGTGTGTGTGAGAGAGAGAGAGAGAGAGAGAGAGAGAGAGAGAGAGCATGTGTGTTTGTGCGTGTGGGTCCACCTGTGGGGCACTGGAAGGAGAGGCATTAAAAGATTGCATCTGACCCCACTGAGTAATAACTTCTCAGTGGCCGCAACTGTGCGTCAGGGAGGAGGACTAGCTTTATCTTTGTCTGACAGTCTTTCTTTCATTCCCTCTCACTCTCTTCCTCACTCTGCTTCTTCGTTTTGCTCCTCTTTCTGTTGTCAGCGGTTTAAGTAGAGCCGGATCACATCTCCCTCTACCTCATGTCCTCTTTTTGTACTTGCACATTTTCCTGATTACATTTTCTCTCTGCTTTATTTTTCGCCCAGATGACTGTAGAAAGTGCAGGGACGTTTGTTGTGCCATAATTATGACACACTTATGCATTCATTGCTATTAGCCTAGTTAATGTGCCATGGCTGGCCATGTTTCTAGGTTTCCATATCAACCACAACTGATTCAAACTAAATACTAGTATTAGTGATAATATTATTATTAATATCAAAAGCAAGTACTTCAAGTGCTTTAGATGAAGGGGAAACACATGTACACATGCAAGTTCATATCTGATATGTGCAAATTGTTAAAAATTAAATATAAAAAAACCTAATGCATTAGCTGGCTAGTACATAGTTGAGGAGAGTCGTATCATAGAACTAGCAATATTATTATATTTATATTTATTTAGAGACAAGAAGTCAGTTGCTCATAAACTCCTTCCAGATAGACTGAATAAGAAAGCAGAAAACAAAATGTTTGACAGTAATAATCTGCATAGTTTTAGCAGTGCCAACATTCTACATAAAGTATTTGATTTTAAAAAGCCTTGACAATTTGTCAAAATATTTGGCCAATGTGTTTTTTAAACGTGATTTGGAGCACAATGACTTGATGTAATTGTAATACTTGACCGGTAATACTGGTAAAATGATTTGTTGTAAGGTCCCTACAGTGTTATTTTTGACAGCAAATTTGTACTTAGTTCTACTAAGTCTTTTGACTAAAATGTCCTTCAGACATATTTTAGTCATCTGAATTGACGTTTTTCACAGCAGCCATTTGACATAAAATAGTAGGGTAAACACAGGTGTTGCCGATGATACTAATTAAGGTTCCATTCTGCTACTGTGCATGTTGACTCCCTGGAAACGCTCTGCTACACTAAATGGAACGAAGCCTTAATTAGTGTAATTTGTAACACCTGTGTTTACCCTACTATTTCATGTCAAAATGGCTGCTTTAAAAAAAAGGTCTATAGTTTTAGTTATAGCCTCGTTTTCATTGATTAAATATACAGTAGATTTGTGTTTTTAATTATTGTAAGGAGGAACTTTGATGAAAATAATGTGTTTAATAGTGAATGAGTACAAAAAGTGATTTAAATATGTAATATATAATATATATATATATATAATATGATCAAATTATTGAAATTAATCATTTATTCACAGTGATATAATCTATTCTTAAAGGTCTTTTGAAGAAAGAATACATTTGGTCTGGATGGTTGATTTTTAAATGAATTACTTTTTAAACCAAATAGGTTAAAATTAAAAAGTTAAGAATCAAAAGGAATCCAATTATGATACTTGCTGAAAGATTAACAAGTCATTGATGTATAAAATAACTATTATTATCTCAACTTTATGGGTTATTGAGAAGCTTGATAAACAGCTGAAGTAACTCAACCCTTTATGAAAACCTTTATATTTAATGAGTCTTTATTACTCTCTTTTAATTGCACATCATTATACAGACTACTTCATATTATTTATTCAAGCACTAATATTTAATAATTGTGACTACATTTTTAATGGTGGTTGCTTTTGTTTTTCCAATCATCTGCTACACGCCAAATCAGAGTGTGTGGCCTGGAGCTGAGAGAGGGATGTTTGAGACCACACACACACGCGCACGTGCACACACACACAAGAAACTAACTTGCTTTGTCTCCTCTGTTTTCCCCTTACATCATCATTAGCAACAATGAGATGAAGCCCAGCTCAAATTAAGGGGAGGTACAGGAGGAAATGCTACAGTACAGCAAGCTGTTAGGCATAATGGCTTTTCAGTGTGTCTGTAATTATGCTGTTTCTTATGGGAGTTAAAGGCATGAGAAATGAACCAAATAAAGGAAACGACAGTGTTATTCTGGTCTCTGGCTCTGAAACAAGAGGAAGATAAGCTCCTGTATCATTCAAGGTGATCACCAGACCTTGCTGTGGCTTGGTGGGGCTCTTCTGTCTCCGACATGAGGAGGATTTCTTGGCGAAAGGTATCCAGTGGTGATACACATACACACACTTGTGGGGCAGTCACAGTGAGGATAATAGGAGCCATTTTACCCTGTTGTGTGAAAACCTCAGCAGCATTCTCCCCCACTGTTTAAGGACACACAACTGTCTGGATAACAGTTATTCATTCACATACAACAATGCATGGGCCGCTGCTGCTCTGTAGACGTCAAACACAATTAAAAGTTGGTTCTGTACAGTTCAGGCTGAGCTCTTTGGTCATAAACCAAACTACTGAACAAAGTATAATTTTGACCTGAACATAGCACTATATGAAAAGTTGAAGTATCACAAACGTTATTACAATACAGCCGGAAGGGGACATACATTTGTGTCCCCTTCAATGTCCATCCAATAATTGTCAGGACATTTCACTCAAAACCACTAATGTGTTTGCACCATATTTTCTACATATTCATTGTTCCCATATATATATATATATATATATATATATATATATTTGTGACTGTAGAAGGATGGAAAAGGTTTCAGTTTCTTGTAACCTGATCCTATCCATGTGCCATGTGTATAATTCAATACCTCAAGAGTTGATTTCACCGGTTATGTGCTCCTGACTGCAGTATTTAATAGCAGTAAAAACCTGCACACTTTTGGGCCTCAGTGACACATGGTTGGGACTCACTGCACCATGACATCCTGCTGCACCTGGATAAATAACTGTTTATGTCCCCAAGCTCGTCATCCCACACCAGCTGATATGTAAGGTTACACAGGTCATTCTCCAGCCTCCATCAGCCAGCACCACATCAGCAATATTAAATAGGCAGAGACTTCAACAGCCCTTCTTTTATTTATCACCTGAGCCTTATCATCCATGAAAAGTGCTGAAAATGTGGGGATCTTGGGGCCCCCCATAGTAACAACCCATCCATCAATCAAAAACACCACTCTTAAAACCTTCTTACCCTATCTCACCCTGTTCTCCCTGAACCTGCCATTGGATCTTAATAACTGGTGAAAACACTGGCACTGGGGAGGAGACAGCAGCCTCTCTGCCTCACCTCCGATGATAGATGGAAGATGCTAAGGATATCATATTGTGTGGAGTAGTGTTTGGTTGTTTGAGTTTTTAGGGGTGGGGTGCTAGAGGTATGTGTGTGTGCAGTGAACAATTGTGTGGATACTTCTTAGTACCTGAAAAGTGTATTTCTTCCTATTTTTATGGCCCTGCATCTTAAGAACAGCATACTTTGTTGGTGCTCATCGTTCTTTAATGTTCTGATTTAAATACTGTTCCCCTTTAAGAGCCTGTTTTACACCGAGGGCGTGTTTCCATGGTATTTTATATCTCCATTTCCAAATAGTTTTCTTCCTCTTTTTTTCTTTTTTTGTCAATTTTCTGCACAAGACAGTAGACCAACGACAGTAAAGAAGACACAGAGAAAGTATCTCTGCTGAGGTTTAGAGTGTGAGATGTATCTGTCAGTCTTTGTGAATGTTTGAATTTGTGTATTGTAGTGGTCCACACTGTTCTTGCTGTTGTTGTCATTCACGCAACTCCCCAACTTACAGTGTATACATTTCACGAGCCAATGCTACTGTAGCACAGATTTTTTTTTTGCTGCTTTTGAAGTAAATTTGAGAACCAACAGCTACAGCAATGCCTCTTCACATTAACATCCCATTTGGAGTTTTGGGAAGGCTGCCATTAAATGTCTGCTGTGCATCTCTTCCTGCCAGCACTTCCTCACAGTGGGCCCAGTGTCTACACCTTCTCTGCCTGAGAGACATACTGAGTGGTGAGGGGTAATGTTGTGAATACCTGGTCATCTGTGACAAATGTGACAAGTGGATGGGGGATGAGAGGTGCGGGGTAAAGAGGGTTATTGACCTGCTACCAGTAATAAGAGTTCTGGATGGTGCTTATATGATAGAGAGTACACCATTATAAACAAGCAATAGTGCAGAAATCAGTGGCTAACATTTGCGATTCTGATAGTGGTTTGCAACTGCAGCGTGTCAGGGTCTACGATATTAAAGGGTAAGTACACCCTTGAGTTCTGCTACAAACCTCCCTCCCAGCGTAATTAAAAAACTGCAGCAGAGGATGCGAGTGAGGGAGGAGGCATGGCCTTTATATCTAAATAGTGTGTAGCTTGGGGGGTCAGGGGACACGGGGGCACTGACTGACTACCAATTAGTATGGCATGCCATCCTGCCACCATGAGCAGTAACTGTCAGAGACTCTCTGCACTAGAAAAATAGGAAGTCTGGTGGTGCTTTTTACAGTCACTTGAAGCACATTTATGGACCTGGAAGAATTACTGCTGGGTGTTGTAGCTGGGCTAGTGGTTGTACTACGAGAGGCTCACTGGTGTGTGTGTGTGTGTGTGTGTGTGTGTGTGTGTGTGTGTGTGTGTGTGTGTGTGTTTGTGTGTGTGTGTGTGTGTCTGTTAGGGAGTGCCAGTACCTGTCGCCCTGCTGTTTACTGTGATGTAAGTCTGATCTAAATATCTT